TTAGAGTTAGAATTAGGGGTTTCAATTTATCTGAATTATAGATGAATTTTATGTTATTGTTGGATTATGAGTTTAATGGTTTTGGATGATTATTTGATTGGGGCTATTTTTTGTTATTTTTTATTTTTTGTTGGAGAGTAAAAATTTAGTTTTTTTTTTTTGGAAAAAGAATTGAAAGTGTTTATTTGCAACAGGTATAAAATGGCCTATCCCGGTCCCGGTCCATACCTTGTTAATTTGTACTGGCATTTTGGGAAGAAAATGTTAAACAATTTTGTTTCATTTAAAGATCGTCCGAGTGGTTCATTTATAATTCCGGGAAGGATATCATATGAACAGTTGGTACAGATGATTAATGAAAAATGTCAGTTTGAAGAAGGTTGGACAATTCAGGAGATTACTATGATGATTAGCCAACCTGATGGTTCGTGGAATCCCGCAATACTCAATAACGATAGTTTTAAATGGATTTATTACTTTCCTAGTATGTCCATGGTGTATTTGCATTTATCGTTGCAGGCAAATACACCCGTTACCCAGTTTGAGGATTTAACTCCTTGTTACGGGAGAGTGTTTGATGTCAAGGGTACGTCGACTTCTCATGTACCTAATTTTGGAGAAGGGACATCGAGAGAATGGGCGGCGGATGAGGACGATGAAGATTTTATTCCCGGTGAAGATGACTTGACAGACGAAACCTCAGAAACTGAATTAGATAGATCTGTTAATGAGGAGAGTGAAGCCGAGTTCATCGAAGAAGAACACCCATTTCCTATTGGTGGTCGGCACATATACCGCGAGATGGGTGAATGAGACCCGTCGAGGATAGATGCGAATGAGTATGCTATTCCACGGTGGAATGGCGACATTGAGACCATATGTTTGGGTACAGTTTTTCGGAGCAAGCAAGAAGCCCAAAGGGGTCTAATGGCTTGGAACGTCGATAGGTTGCGGGAGGTTCGGTCAAAAGATTCAAATCAGAAGACATTCAAACTGGTCTGCAAATCGAATGCAGATGTGCCTTGTCTTTGGAAGGCTCGGTTGAATAAGTCCAGACAACATGATGATTTGTGGGAAGTAACTGAATGGACTGACCAACACACTTGCATGCAACAGGTCGACAGAAATGACCACAGAAACGTGACTGCCCATATGATTGCGAATCTTATAATGAATAAGATTCAGAAGAAAGTGGAGTACAACGTTAACATGGTCCAGGCTGATGTGAAGCAGTGTTGGAAAGTCGACGTCAGTTACAAGAAGGCATGGCACGGCAGGAAAAAAGCAATCGAGTGTGTGTACGGCAGTTGGGAGTCGAACTTCGCAGAACTCCCTCAGTAAGCAAAAATAATTACAAATATACGTGTTTTTTGTCTGTCAGTATGTTTATTTATTTATGAAATTGTTTTGTATTGTACAGATAGTTTGCCGCGCTTCAAAGAGCGAATCCCAACACAGCTGTAGATTGGGAATTTCAGGGTGGTGATGCGGCCCTACACGTTCCAGACAGAGAATTTAAATATGTGTTCTGGGCGTTTGGTCCCGCGATTCAAACCTTCGTAATATGCCCGCCAGTTATTAGCGTTGATGGCACACATTTACGTGGACATTACAAAGGAAAATTGCTCGTGGCCGTAGGCCAGACTGCGAATAAGCGGCTATTGCCAATCGCGTATGCGCTGGTTGACGAAGAAAGCACGGGGAGTTGGTCATTTTTCCTTAGAAATCTGCGGCGATATATTGTATTCGACAGACAGATATGTGTTCTTTCTGACAGGGATATGGGTCTACGCAGTGCGATTGAATCATTACCGGATTGGCAAGAACCCGTTGCGTATCATCGGCTTTGCCTTCGACACCTTCGAAGCAACGTGATGACCCGGTTCAGGAGTAAGAAAATCTGGGATTGGTGTTGGGAGTTGGGTTCGCATTTGTCGAAGCAAAAGTTTCGACTGACAAAACAGCGACTTCAAGAATTTAATCCCGACGCATACAATTATCTTTTCAACATTCCTTTGAATCAGTGGACCCTCTATCGAGATGAAAAACGTAGATGGGGCACTTTGACAACGAATATGTCGGAGAGTTACAATAATGTCCTGAAAGGGGTTAGGTTCCTGCCGTGCAGAGCTTTGGTAGAGGCCACATTTCAAAAAACTCTGGATTTGTTTCGACAAGAACAACACAAGTCCAGCAGATGCAGGAGTCCCATTGCTCATTTGCACTATGTTGCATTTTTGCAGTTGGAGCAGACTGCTGCAACTCACGATGTGGAATGTACGGACTAAGACAGATCAATGTACGCGGTGACAACCGGTCTACGCGCTAGTGGAAGAGGGCAAAACAAGTAAGTATATGTTTTTTTTTTTTTTTGTTCTTTTATTTTTTTATTTCGTATTATATAAATCAATGTTGAAATACAGGTATAAGGTTGATTACCCCGGAAAACGTTGTACTTGTCGGAAGTGGCAGACACATAGAAAACCGTTGTACTGTCCGAGCAGGGGATGTGCAGTGTAAGTGTTAATAAAGTGTTTTTTTATTATTATTCTTATTATTTTATTTAATGGTAATAATTTTCAATATTTTTTTTCAGGCCAATGCCATGGAGGGGGTTTATAACTTGTTATCGACCCTTGACTATAATGCACTCACTCCGGAGCAGCAGCCCATAATCGCAAATGCCCAAAACATGCTCCACAGTGGACTGAGTGTCGGAGGACAAGTGGTCACGCAAGGGACGTCGTCGAGTCAAGTTCTATCTCAAAAGAGCTATGTCCAACCCCAACCGACACAGTCGCACCGGGCGAGGCATCGACCTGCTGCCAATATTGGCGGGCATAGAAGACGCCGTGTCTGCGAACACGATGCCAACACCGTGCCTGCCGACACCGTGCCTGAGGAACAAGCAGAAGAAGGTCAGATTTTTAAATTATTTATATATTTATTTATTGTAAAGTAGAATTTCCGATTTTTCTTAAAATATCTTTTATTCATATACAGAAGAAGCTGCCACGCCCACAGATACAGAAGAAGCTGCCACGCCCACAACCTCGTCTTCTTTACAGACGTACCAGCGTTGGAAAGGCTCCCGAGAGCGCAGACCTCCGGATCAATTCACTCCTAGCAACTATTAGGAAATTTATGAACATTTTTTTTCTTGACTTTTGTGTAATTTTGTTTGTGGAAGTGATATATTTTGGTTGAATATTTGGAATTGTTATATTTTAGTTAAATTTTGTTTGAATATTTGGTTGTTGAATATTGTGCTTCAATTTTGTTTGTGAATTGATAAATTTTGGTTGAATATTTGGTTGTGGAATTGATTTCGACAAACAAGTGTTCTATTTTATTTCTGTTGTAAAATTACTGTTTCTGTACAGTAAAATTGTTGGTTGTTTGGAATATGCATAGAAAAGTGTTAAAGGACCGAAAAATGACAAAATCGAGCTGCAGATGGGTCACACGACTCGTGTGAGTAGGTGACACGAGTCGTGTGGCTTACAGAGATTGATTTTGTAGTTTCGACTTTTTTCACACGGGTCGTGTGTCATGTGACACGGGTCGTGTGACTTTACACGACCCGTGTGGTTATGTCGTGTGAGTCTGAGAGTATTTTTTTTTTAACTGAAAGCGTATTGTCAGAATACGGTTTCCTTAAATAAACCGTATTCTGACAATACGTTTAAAAAAAAAAAAAGAAAAATTCAAAAATTTTATTAATTTATTTTAGTATATAAAATTTATATAAAAACAAAAAAAGTTTGCTTAAAATACGTTTTTGTATTTAAACCGTATTTTCAAAATATGTTTCCTATAAAACGTATTATGAAATTACGTTTTATGTTGATTTAGTATTCTTAATCACGTTTTATATTAGTCTAATTAAGTTAATCATGTTTAGTAATTTAATTTGTTATAAAACGGTGAATGATAATACATTTTATTTTGAAAACGTATTCTTATAATACGTTTTCCAATTGAAAACGTATTTTCATAATACGCCTGTTTTATGTTGGTCGACACAATTTCTTTTTTTTATATATTTATTTTTGTCCAGTTAATTTTTGTTTTTTTGATTTAAATAATAAATTCATTTGAAATAAGTTAGATTATTTTTTAAATAAAGAAGAAATATTATGTAGTACTATTTTCTGAACAAAATTACTTTATCAATAAAAATGTCTACGAATTTATGTTAAATATGTTCGATCTAAGTATATATACGTCTAAAATTATAATAATTGGTGTTTTTAATTTACTAAAGCAACATGCCACAATTATTAGTAATTTATTATTTATTTATTTCATTATGTAGTTTAGATTTAACACTTAGTATTCGTGATGTTATTGAAGTCAAATTGAGTTGACTACATCGTGTTAGAACCCGTGTTCGTTTAATAAACAAGCATGCACGTTTGGCTCTGGTCGTTTAGTAAATCGAAATCAAATGAGTTTGATTGATCAACTCTAGTTTTTTGGATTAAATTTTTATTTTATTATTTATTATATATTAATGAGTTTGAGATTGGCTTTTTTACTAGCCGAAATAAGTTTCTCTAAGATATCCGCTCTAGCAACCAGGGTAGTAAAGATTTCTAACAAGGCCCCGAATGACCCCTTGAACAAAACTCCGCTGCTAAAAATATTTTAATCATGTACTAAATTTAATCGATTATTCATCATTATCATTAGAATGTGTAAACGGACAAGTGTGTAATGCTATATTTTATTATATTCATATTATTTATTTATTCAATTTCTAAATTTATTTCAAAATGAAATATAAAATCAATTGGAATATAAACTAACACTAATATATATGATAACTGGGAAAAATTAATTAGATGAAAAGAAACGGCACTATAACATAAACTATTAACTTATAGTACAATAAAATGAAGTTTGTAATGAATTCTGAAATATTGACAAGAGTTAATTAATAATTACGTAAATTTTTAATAATACATTTGTTCGATTCATCACAACTTGCATATTAATTATGCTATGAAGGTCAAAGAAAATCTGCTTGAAAACATCAACGGTCTTTTGAAAACTATGTATATCGCCATCTGGGATGCACCAAGCACCACTCCAATGCCATTTGAGATCTATTATTAAATAAAATAAAAATGTAACACAAATAGATTCATAATAAAATTATTTATGATTCATAATAAAATTATCATAATAATTTTTGAATTAATTTAAATCTAACTTACGATAATGCGTATATCCCGAGTAAGCAACGCATATCCACACCAGAATCCACCGCTCATTGTTATGGATAATGCCAAGAAAAATGACATATCCCCAACATCTCTCTCTCGAAATACTCGAGGCTATGTGGAGAAAAATATAATTAAAAAGGTTGAATAACGAAATATAATACTCCCTCCTATTTTTTTTATTACGTATTTGATTTGAGTTTTCTGTTTGGATTATATATACTCACTAGACTGCTCAACGGTGCTGCAAATGCTAGAATGGTGGATATTACACATAGCCACTCCACCAAATATGTCCTCATGGTGCTAACTATAGTGGTGTATGTAACAACACACACCACCATATAAATACCCATGGAGAAGCCCATGAACCTCGCGGCAAAAATCTAAAAAATAATTTATTAGATTGAGATTAATAATTTATAATATACAAGTTCAAGACATGTTTTTTTAAAAAAAAAATATATATATATATATTTACTAATACTTACCCGAGCATTATAGGGCGCATAATATATGTATAGAGACATGTACAATGTCTCTAACACACATCCCAGCGCGTTAATTCCTAACACCATCCATTTTAGATCGATGTAGCCGTAATACGACCACAGTGATGCTGAGAAAAGGGCTAGTGTGTACGCTATCGGAGAACACCTCTCGATAGGCGTACGACGCTTATAAAGCCCATAGAATGTCGGCCTACAAGAAAACAAAACTGTTTTACGTACGTGTAATCAAATAAATAAAATATTTTGAAGTGTTAAATCAAACTTAAAAAAAAAAAAATGTCTATAAAATAAAGTTACTTACGCTGGAGAGATGTACACAAGAGCCGAGAAGAAGAAACCTGATATAAATCAAGTTATGGAAAAATTAAATTAGTATATTAATAAAGAGAAAAATACAATGGAGAAAAAATATATTTTGAAAATTAAAATTCTTACCAATGTAGCCCAATAAATCAACTAAGTGGGCCATGTTGAAACTTGAAGAAGCCATGGAATGTATGGAAAAACAGAGAAAACTGTATTATGTTTTCATTGATAAGAATGATGAAAAGCATATGTTTTTATAACTATCTAACTAATCAGAGTTACAATTAATTTCATGGACTGATTATATAATGCAAGTAACTACCAAAACTAATTATTGTACTTATTTGCCAATTATAGGCCATATCACAAACCAAAGGTATATATCAGCTTGACTTTTTTTTTTTTTTTTTTAGATATTGGTTTGAAGTGTACAAGTTTGACGACTGTGTTTATATCATATGGAACAACAATGAAAATATATATAGAGAGTGCTAAAGTTAATGGAGAACGTAGAGAAATGAAAATGATGAAGTTCTCAATGATTATGTCAAAAGGATTTACAGAAATATTTATACAAAGTGAGTCGAGGGATTAATCGCTTTATTAATACGTAACCTAACTCTAAGTTATTACTTAACTAACTAAGCTCCCAAACTAATATCTAACTAACTAAATGCCAGCTAAAAGAGGGTCATCTTGCAAAAACCACTATGTGTCAAAAACTACACACAAATAAATTAGCTATGGTGTGGTTTTGGGTTAGAGATAAAACGCTAGTTTGGCAGGTGACACGTCACCTTCAATTCCTTCTAGGCGTGGGATTATCCCTTTTATACATAAATGCTATTATATATATTCCTAATATTGTTGTTTTTTAAAAATAAATCCTAATAAGAAAAAAGGAAATTCTACGGTCCCGTTACGGTATCATCCCGTCAAGTGTTTTAACCGTTGGATTATCTATTTTATATAACTACATGCGGATCCAACGGTTAAAATATTTGACGGAATGGTACCATAACGGGACCTTAGTATTTCCCAGAAAAATAGCTACAACTGTAATTGGCCTTTGTTCACAAATCCAAAACGGGTAGTGATCCACAAAAGCAAAGTGAGCAAAAAAAAAAAAAA